CAAACCTGTGTACTTTTCATTGCGTCTTTCTTAAACTTCAGCCATTTGCATTTCCAATGGTCACAGAAGCTCTGTCATCTCAACTAGGCGCGGCTGGAAAGTGTCAGAGCATTGTCTCGCGTGCACGTCCCTCCATTGGAAATAACGAACTTGCCTTCCTTATAGCCTCAGTCAAAGTTAATCCAGTGTGCGTGGTTATTAGTCTCGGTGTACAAGCTCGGAACTTTAAACTAGCACACAGCTGACAACTTTTAGTTGCCGCAGTTTTGTTCCGTGCAGAAACACAATGTTAAGAAGCCTTTAAGACTAATTAACCGTGACGAATAAAGCTCTGCTCATAGTGAAAGCGGTTAATCAATGCATACCTATACGGGTGACACATGCATTGTTACATAGCGGCTGTAAAACTATAAAAAGACCAAAGACTACCACTCTGGCACATTAGGAATAGGATTCCTCAACAGTAGTCTGTTGCCATACACAAAGCGGGGGAGCTCTTGGCTCCGCCCCCTTGTTAAGTTTGGTGGGAAGTTGGAACTCATTTTTATGTGAAGCAACACACCCCTAAAACAGCGAGCTGTCTACACAACCCCAAAATAACACTTTTGAACACATTATAATAAGAAATCAGAATTGTGTTGAGCCGAACATAGACTGGCACACTCAGAAGAACCATAATATTAATATTACATTTAAAAAAGGGGTAAAATAGGTGCCCTTTAAGTAGAAAAGAACAAACAAAACCAAATGTAGAATGTGAGAGCTCTGAAATAGGACCCACGCACCTCTCCTCCTTGTCCATGCTCTTCTTATCTCCAGGACTGATCTTCTTTGGCGGTATGGGTGGACACACTTTCCCGCAGATCTCCTGTAGGCATCTTTTACTGTGTCTGCTTCGAGCTGAAGCTTTGGCTAAGATTCTTTCGATGGCCGTTAAACCGTCTCCGTGCGCATGATGGGCAGGATCCACCTCGGCCAACCAGCTCAGAGACAGAGAGTTCTGCTTGGCCGACAGTTTCTGGTGCAGTTTAACCAGCAGCGACAGCATGCTCTCGCGTATCTCCAGGATCTCGGTCACCAGCTGTGGAGGCGTTCCCGGTGGAAGCCAGCGGGACGCTGAGGACTTGGGGCGCACTGCCTGACTGGCCTCATGGTTGCTGCGGTTGATGATCTCCTGGAACTTTCTCCTGCGCTCCGCCACCAGACTGAACACCTGAGCTTCACGCAGATTCTGAACAGAAGCAGACCAGGAATGAGCAGGAGGAATAAAAAAAAACTCCTCTAATTACGTAGACTGCGTGTTTACCGAAGCGTTTTTTAAATTTATTTATTTATTATTTTTTTGCAGAAAGCAAAGGCTGTGAATACTGATGTCCATGTAATTTTTCAGGTTTTTTTATTTTTAATAAATTTGCAACAATTTCAAAAAAAATTTTGCACATTGTCATTATGGGGTATTGTGTGTAGAATTTTGAGGAAATAAACTAATTTAATCTATTTTTAATTAATTAAGCAAGAAGGTCGCTGGTTCGATCCTCAGCTCAGTTGGCGTTTGTGTGGAGTTTGCATGTTCTCCTTGTGGGTTTCCTCCGGTTGTTTTCCCCCACAGTCCAAAGACATGTGGTACAGGTGAATAGGGGTTGGCTAAATTGTCCGTAGTGTATGAGTGTGTGTGTGCGTGTGAATATGTGTGTGGATGTTTCCCAAAGATGGGTTGCGGCTGGAAGGGCATCCGCTGTGTAAAAATGTGCCGGATAAGTTGGCGGTTCATTCCACTGTGGCGACCCTGGATTAATAAAGGGACTAAGCCGACAAGAAAATAGATGAATGAATGAATATAATTGTCTTTATTGTTTAGATATTAAATCCATTCATGTGACTACTTTATAATTTCATTCATCACTAGAAAAGATTTCAAAACATGTATATATAAAAAAGCCTCAACTCTTATCCAAAACCAAACTTGTCCGTCTTTCACAACCCCATGTACATTACTACAGCCTCCTTTGCTCTCATTAAGCAAGGGTGCCAATATTAAATGAGGGCTCTACATATAAATATTTTTTTCAAAAATAAATGCAAGAACACAAGACACACAGTTTCTAAAATCAAAAATGTTTCCTAACAGTTTTCATCATGCGTATTTTGTCAAAGACACACTAAGGGTGCTTTCACGCCTACATTTTTGTTTCGGAATCGGTCTCGTTTGCCCAGTTAGAGCGGTTCGTTTGGCATATGTGAATCCAGCAATCGCGATTTGTTCCGTGCCAAAGCAATCGCTCCGAGATCGCTTGAATGAGGTGGTCTCGGCTTGATTGAAACAAACTCTGGAGCGGATCGATTGCAGTGAGAAAGCGATATGATCCGAGCGCGGTTATATCAGTGTTTTATGGATATGTAATATGCACACGGCTATATAAAGAGAGAATTATGAGTAGGGCGGGAAGTTTCGAAAGTGTCCCGGATGCCCACAAATGAGTGATAATCTCCTGGTAATCTCGCGTCTCCCTCCCGGTTCTCAAATACATCGCTCACCCTTTTCACCTCTCCCCACCGCATCTCTCCTCCCTCTTCAGACACGTCGTGTGCACCTTGTCTAACAACACCAAACCACCCTCTCCCCTGACAGCTGAGCGGGACTAAACCGTGAAACTCTGACCAATGTGAGGAGAGTTTACTCGCATGTGACTTGTTTTAGCTCTTTTGGTCCGTTTAGAAACTTTGCCGTGTGAAAGCGAACCGCTCCAAGAGCAAAGAGCAACAATGAAATGTAATTTCTGTTTCGGAACAACTGAATCGATCAGTGTGAAAGCACCCTAAAACGTTATTAACATTGACAAAAAAGCAACAGGTCTTTTAACACGTCTGCGAAACAAATCAAGCACAAGCTTTCTTTTTTGAGACTATTCCACTGTTGGTTATTCAAAACAGAACTCTTGAAGACATTTCACACCACTTTAAAGCATTCCCAAACTCGTCTACCTCTCTCCAATTTCCTGTAAGCCTTCTGGAGCTCTGTGGAATGAGAGTGACGTTGTTAAAAAGTAAAACTGCATATAGGGGTCATTTTTGCAAATCGCCCATATTGACGCTTTGAAACCAGACGTCCCTGCACACCTGACAGTGTCTGCCTTACCTGACCAAAGGTGGCGCTCTCTGAACTGGTGCTGGGTGGAGTTTCTCTCTCTCGTTCCCTCTCTCGCTTCCTCTCCACCTCCGGAGCCGTCTCCGGCACTCGAACCCGCACAAAGTTGATGACGTGATGGAGGTTAGACAGCAGGCTGGTGCCCGGGAACCAGCTGTCGTGGCAGTGCTCCTCGATACAGGGCTCCTACAGCAGATTGAAGAATAAACACTCAGCAAGAGAAAACAAGCGTCTGGAATTCTTAGAGTATCTGAAGCTCACGGTTTCGAGAGGCCACAAATCTAGTCTAGGCATGGGCTGCTATAAGATTCTTACAGTATGATAACCTTGAATAATAATATAATGGTTTCACGCTATTGGGATTACTGCTCTAAAACATGGCCTTTTTGAAAGTCTGCGTAAAAAACAAAAACTTTTTTCCCCTATTCAACACATTATATTCAACTTTTAAAATGTTTTAGAACAACAAAGATGTTAGGCTATATAATTAAAATAAATCAATCACTTCTGCTGCCTTCATTCATTTCAAAAACACAGACTTCTTTACAATTTTAAAAGGCATCTTTGGATTTCTTTCTTTTCTGTGTATATAAAGCAAGCCCCTGCACTGTTCAGGTCTATAGACCTTTTTCATGGCTGCTGCATGGAGGGCGCCATAGCGATCAGATGGCCAAACACAATGGCCAAACATAAATTGCGCATGAAAATTTTAAATTGTGTATGAAAATATAAACCAAATGTATATGATGAGATGAAAATGATACAAGCATATATTTCCTGTATATACACACAATTAGATTTTATTTTTTTATGCGAATGCAGTTCAACATAGACAGGCTCAAAATGTTTCATACCCAATTGACACCTATATATAGCCTTATTCTTTTGTGATTGGCTCAACGATAAAGTATTTTAATACCAGATGTGAAGAGTGTCTAAATGATGACAGTTTGCCATTTTGGGTGAACTATCCTTTTAAGAAGCTCTTGATTTCTGATAGCAATGCACGCGTCAAAAACACTCTTTAATTTAGGGATAATGTCCTTACCTCTTCCACTTTGTCATCCTGGACCTGATTATCAAGTCCAAGCTCTATCAGGTACAGCACCATACACAACACATGCTCAGACATGTTCTGATGATCCATCCATATCTAACAAAGAGAAACAGAGATGGAAAAACATTACACTGTCAGACATCGGTAATCATCTGTAGTAGTTGTTTACACAAGTTTATGGAGAGAAGATTTTAGAACACATTTAACATTTATAGAACATGATAGTTTTAATAATCTATTTCTAATTTTGTGTCATGTTGGTGGTACAGTATACTAGTATTCAGCTTGAAGTGTAATTTAACAGTGTTATGGTCCGTGGGAGTTTGTATTTTTGTGCCTTCTCCCTCTCTGTTTTGCTTGTCACCCTTCGCTCACTTTGCATCTCCTTGACTGTCATTCGCTCTTTGTCTCGCCCTACCACCTTTTGTTCTGCTTTTTTTCTCTACTAGGTACCTCCTGATTGGATCCCGAGCCTGTCACTCCTCATTAGGGCGTTTCCTCGTGGACCAATTGGACTCTGTTCCGCGGACTTTAAATTCGACCGGCACGCCTTGTTTTTCAAAGTGCTATGTGTGTGCGCGTTGGTTTGCGTTCGCTCGTTGCTGTTCATCCTGTATGCTTTGTTCTGTGTTTCTGAATAAATACATCGATGTAAATTAAGTTATGGTTAAAGAGTTTATCATTCCTTTTTTGGGAAAAGGGAATAGTTTACTGAGTCGCACGATATACATTTTGTCCGTAGGTAACTTCAATGTTCAGAAACACTAGGTAAGTGGGTGAGCACCGCATTTTTTATTTTTGCTTATTATGTCAGGGAGTTTATGTGTGGCGTCGCAAACCCTGAAGTTTTCGGTTTCTTTTTCACATTTTGATTTTTAATAGTAAGTTCAGAGGGGGATCTTGTGTTCTAGTTTAGGTGGCTTTTGGTTTTGTTTAGTTCTTTGCTTTGGTGCCACTCTAGTTCCTTTTCCCCTAAAACTTTTGATAGCATTTTTTTAAATTATATATATATATATATATATACATACATTGTACAAAGCGCACGCATGTAAGCCTCTCTTTTGTTGGCTTCATTTTTCTTCTCCTCGTAAGAGGAATAAACGAATTGACTGTACATTTTGGTGTCCTGGTGTATTTTCCATCCATCTACTCAGTAATAATTTAATATTATAAGTGTTACGTTTATTTTCCTTAGACAACTTAATTAAACCATAACAACAGCTTAACTATGTTAATTAGGTGAGCCATTTGACAACAGTAGTTTGTTTTGTAGCCAATCAAAAGATAGATAGACAGACAGACGCGTAATTTAAAGAACTAACAAGGTTAATTTGGATGGACGGATGGATGGATGGAGGGAGGGATGGATGGATGGATGGATGGGTAATTTAAATACTTAACAAGGTTAATTAGGTTAACTGGGCAAGCCATTTGACAACATCAGTTTGTTATAAAGCCAAGCATCAAGCGAGTATGCAAGGAAGGAAGCAAGGAAGCTAGCAAGGAAGAAAGGGATGGAAGGATGAAGCTAATCATATTAAATGTTCATGAAAACATGCTTTAAAAATGTAAACTTCAGCTAGACATGAGAAAGAAAATTATTAGGAATTACTGCGAAAACTTGGTTGCTCTGTTAAACAGCACTTTTTATGCAAATTGGCTTATTCGAAGTCATTAAACTTAAGTCTAAATATCTTTTAAAATGGACCACAAATATCGTTGAATGTGTGAAGTCTCACCTTATAAAGCAGTGTAAAGATGACGATATGTAAGGTTTTGCAGTGCAGCAGGCGCACCAGTCCTTTATAGCAGGGATGCAAAGGAGTCCTCTCCTTATAGGGTGGCCAAGGGTTCCCTGTGTGAACGCCTGACTGTTTCAAACTAACACAGGCAAAAAAAAAAAAACAGTCATTAGACAATCATTCAACTTGCTTTAGCACAACTGAAACATACTGACAAAAAAAAAATTAACATACAACAAGTCCTGAAAAACAACAAGCAATTGAAATATTCAAAATGAACATTTTAAAACTAAAGTGACAATCACGTCATCATTAGGCTCAATAGGGAGTACGGACCGGCACTCTTAGGCCGTACTCACACTAGGTACAGTTGCCTCGAATTGGGCCAAAGCACGCTTGTCCCCCCTCCCGTCTCCCCCGACGGCCCGCGCTTACACCACAAATGGGCCTCGGCACGCTTACGTCATCGCTGCTGCGCTGTTCAGTGGGAAGCGCTCTCTCACTCAGCAACACAGAGGAGATTTCTCTAGTTATATCGTTTCAATCGTTTGATATGCAGTGACATGCAGTCAAATATTTTGCCAAACAGTCCTTAGGGATGCGGGGACACGCAGTCAGATATTTCGCCGAACAGATCCGCCACTTTTGGCGCTCATAAACAATCATAAAGCTCTTGTGCTGCAGGAATGAGGAGGTCTGCTGAAGGCGCGCAGCTGTCGTGCTGTGAGGAGTTCTCGTCTTTAATAAGCTACGGCAGTTTGCATTCATTGAACAGTAAGAATTATTAATAAATCCATATGAAACAGCCGCTTAAAAATCACGTCTCGCTTTCAGTTTCAGGCTTTGGCTTGTTTTGCACTCACACACAAGCGTACCGCGCCAAAGCCCAAGTGAACCGGGCTCAGGCACACCTCTTCCAACCGGGCCAGGGCCGGCCAAGTGAACCGTGCTTGAGCCCGATTGAGCGCACTCGCACTTCTCAAACGATCCGGGAAACGGGCCTGGGCACGGTACGGATGGCATAGTGCGAGTAGGCCCTTAATTTAGAATGGCCAGCTCAGGCGCTTCCAGTGAACTGTAATGCCATTATAAAATGATAGTTTAAGATTTGATGTTTTTAGGGGGTCAAGCGCGAAGCGCTGAAACCCTATTGTATTTGTAAGGATTTTTAGGGGTTCGAGCGCGAAGCGCTGAAACCCTATTGTTTTTGTAAGAATTTTTATTATTATTATTATTATTATTATTATTTTACTTCTGCCATAATCACTATTGCCCAGGCCAAACCCTAAGGCCTATTGGCCTCAAACTTGGTCAGATGGTAGTACTCCTCACCGCTACTCAGATCCAAAGGCTCGTCAAAATCGGGCCATAGGTGGCGCTACAGCGCTAAAAACAAAAAAAATTTAGTAATTTGGCAGCCATTTCTAAACCGTTAGTCGTAGGCTCAAAAACTTTACACTTTTGGAATCGTTGGGTCATCCCGAACAAAAGTGGAGTCACCCAGAATTTCTCTACGACGCACCGTTTTTCCGCTACATCGCGATTTGTCCGACACCTACTTTTGCGAACTAGTCCTTGGGCTTTCACCCAATCTGAACCAAACCAGTGTAGAAATGTTCTCTGGACACTGAATAGCAAAAGTTATTGAAAGAAAGTTGAAATGTTGATTTCACGCGAAACCGTACACAAGAACGTAACATGCTAATGTAAGCTAAAAGCTAATTGTAGCTGTAACTTTTGAACGGATTGAGATATCTTCATCAAACTTGGTACACACATGTATAAGGTCAATTTGAGGTCACAGTGCAAAACCCGCTAACTTTGGCCTCATGGTGGCGCTATAAAGCCTATAAAACATAAAAATTACTCTAACCTCACAACCATTTGTCCAATCAGCTTGAAATTTGGCATGCAGTGTCTTTGTCTAACGTGTCATGACATACTATAAGGACATTGGCATATCTCAAAAAACATGGCCGCCATTAGCCAATTAAGATTAAACAGCCATTAAACTAGGTTAACGATGAGTGATCAAAACGAAACTCGATGGGCATGTTCGACTCATGGTCCTAGAGGTCTGTAAGAATTTTAAAAGAAATCCGCCACTAGGGGGCGATTTTGTGTTTTTTGAGGTTGTAATTGATTGGTTATTACACAAAGTTTTGCACAGCCACACAAAATACATATCATATGATAGGGCTGCTCATACCGAACAGTTTGACACTAAAACCACTGATGTCACTCAATCTGTTCATTAAATATTAATTAATATATGAAAAAACTACTTTTGCGAACTAGTCCCTGGTTTTTCGCTCAATCACCACGTAACCAGTGTTGTATGAATCTCTGAACTGAGCAGATCAATAGTTATTGAAATGAGTTGAACTTTCCTCTTTTGGCAGCTATAAATGGCTCATTTACAAAAGGGGTGTGTCTTATATTGACCTAAATGCATGTAAATGCATAAGGAAAACTGAAAACTTCGTGAAATCAGGTATGCACATCTGAGATGTGATTCTTAACAAGCATGCAAAATTTTGTGAAGATAGGTCAATAGGTGGCGCTATAACAGTAGAAAAGGTCTCAAAAACACTAATTTCCATTGCTATTTGACCATAATTTGTATAATATGTGTTTATTGTAGACAGCTTTTCACAAATATACTTGATCTGAGATATTATATGACAGGCCTGCACATTCTGATCACTTTGGCATAAAATCCACTGCTGTATCTCAGACTATCCATTTATTATTCACCATTATTTCAAACAATACTTTTATGAACTCGTCCCTGCTTTTTTGCTCAAATTGAACAAAATCAGTGTTGTACAAATGTCTGCACTGTCTAAATCAGTAATTATGAAAAAACAATTGAACTTTTGTGCATAAATGAGCTTGATATATTTATCTAAAGAGCAGAGTGTGTTCATATGCTTCCACAAAGGATATAAACATGCATTACTACTATAAACCACTAGATGACAGCACAAGACCTCATAATGTTGGTTTAAAGTCACTAAATTTCCATTAAAGATCATTCTGAATCACATCTTGACATGGCATAAACTCTGTTATTGCATTTAAAAGCTGATTTAGTCCCAGGTTACCACTTCATTCATGTAGGCTTTATATTTTTTTCCATTTATTACATTACATCATGGATTTCTTTTGGGTCAGCCTTAAATGTTGGGTTGTCCTACATCTAAATTGCCTAAATGGCTATTAGGTTGCCAAATGCTCGAACCCCGTTAATCGCCGCTTGCGGCTATATTTATTATTAGGGGTTCGAGCGCGAAGCGCTGAAACCCTATTGTTTTTGTAAGAATTTTTATTATTATTATTATTATTATTATTATTTTACTTCTGCCATAATCACTATTGCCCAGGCCAAACCCTAAGGCCTATTGGCCTCAAACTTGGTCAGATGGTAGTACTCCTCACCGCTACTCAGATCCAAAGGCTCGTCAAAATCGGGCCATAGGTGGCGCTACAGCGCTAAAAACAAAAAAAATTTAGTAATTTGGCAGCCATTTCTAAACCGTTAGTCGTAGGCTCAAAAACTTTACACTTTTGGAATCGTTGGGTCATCCCGAACAAAAGTGGAGTCACCCAGAATTTCTCTACGACGCACCGTTTTTCCGCTACATCGCGATTTGTCCGAAACCTACTTTTGCGAACTAGTCCTAGGGTTTTCACCCAATCTGAACCAAACCAGTGTAGAAATGTTCTTTGGACACTGAATAGCAAAAGTTATTGAAAGAAAGTTGAAATGTTGATTTCACGCGAAACCGTACACAAGAACGTAACATGCTAATGTAAGCTAAAAGCTAATTGTAGCTGTAACTTTTGAACGGATTGAGATATCTTCATCAAACTTGGTACACACATGTATAAGGTCAATTTGAGGTCACAGTGCAAAACCCGCTAACTTTGGCCTCATGGTGGCGCTATAAAGCCTATAAAACATAAAAATTACTCTAACCTCACAACCATTTGTCCAATCAGCTTGAAATTTGGCATGCAGTGTCTTTGTCTAACGTGTCATGACATACTATAAGGACATTGGCATATCTCAAAAAACATGGCCGCCATTAGCCAATTAAGATTAAACAGCCATTAAACTAGGTTAACGATGAGTGATCAAAACGAAACTCGATGGGCATGTTCGACTCATGGTCCTAGAGGTCTGTAAGAATTTTAAAAGAAATCCGCCACTAGGGGGCGATTTTGTGTTTTTTGAGGTTGTAATTGATTGGTTATTACACAAAGTTTTGCACAGCCACACAAGATACATATCATATGATAGGGCTGCTCATACCGAACAGTCTGACACTAAAACCACTGATGTCACTCAATCTGTTCATTAAATATTAATTAATATATGAAAAAACTACTTTTGCGAACTAGTCCCTGGTTTTTCGCTCAATCACCACGTAACCAGTGTTGTATGAATCTCTGAACTGAGCAGATCAATAGTTATTGAAATGAGTTGAACTTTCCTCTTTTGGCAGCTATAAATGGCTCATTTACAAAAGGGGTGTGTCTTATATTGACCTAAATGCATGTAAATGCATAAGGAAAACTGAAAACTTCGTGAAATCAGGTATGCACATCTGAGATGTGATTCTTAACAAGCATGCAAAATTTTGTGAAGATAGGTCAATAGGTGGCGCTATAACAGTAGAAAAGGTCTCAAAAACACTAATTTCCATTGCTATTTGACCATAATTTGTATAATATGTGTTTATTGTAGACAGCTTTTCATAAATATACTTGATCTGACATAATATATGATAGGCCTGCACATTCTGATCACTTTGGCATGAAATCCACTGCTGTATCTCAGACTATCCATTTATTATTCACCATTATTTCAAACAATACTTTTATGAACTCGTCCCTGCTTTTTTGCTCAAATTGAACAAAATCAGTGTTGTACAAATGTCTGCACTGTCTAAATCAGTAATTATGAAAAAACAATTGAACTTTTGTGCATAAATGAGCTTGATATATTTATCTGAAGAGCACAGTGTGTTCATATGCTTCCACAAAGGATCTAAACATGCATTACTAATATAAACCACTAGATGACAGCACAAGACCTCATAATGTTGGTTTAAAGTCACTAAATGTCCATTA